GTATCTGATTGTGAACTATGACGAACAATTGGTGGTGATATTAATGTAATTGATGTTTGTTGTTCATTAAGAAAACTTTCCGAAGGTATATTTGTATGATATATATTTTTTGTTGGTGTTGCTGTTGTTGATGATCGTCCTGAAGTTTCTTCATCAGCTGATTGTTCACGTGTATTTGATGATTCATCAGCACTATAACGATCATTAACACTAAATGAACTTGTATCAGTTGGAATTTGATGATGATTTTGTTCTTCATCTTCGGCTTCGGCTTCAACAAGTTCATCTTCATCATCATCTGATGATGTACCATTACCTAATAATTTATCACTTTTATTACTTAATGAATCATCATGTTCACCACTCATTTGTGCTACAACATCATTTAGTACTTGATGAACATAACCAGCAGCAAGTGTATCAAATTCTTCTTCAGTCATTGATTCATTAATAGTTTGTTGTTGTTGTGGTTGTTGTCCAGGTAAAATAAGTGCTAATGGTCTTTGACAACTACTAGTTGGTTCAAATGCATCAGAAAAAGCTGTTGTTGGTATATTATATGATTCTGAATGTTCTGAACTTGATTCTTTTTCCATAACATCATCAAAAGGTGTTGAATGACGGTGTTGTTGTTGATGTTGTTGTTGTTGATGATGATGTATAAATTCTAATGAATTATCTTTTGACATAGTTGGTAAAAATTCTTCTGATGTTTCATGACTTGTTGTTCCTATACTATGACGTTTTAAATCATCAATAGCTAATGCTGATTCTGATTGTGTACGATTTTGTGTTTGTAAATTTGTTAATAAAATTTTTTGATTAACATTATCCATATTATATAATTCTGGACTACGAACAAGTTTTAATTTATCTTCATCATATAAATCATATGTTGAATGAAAATGTTGTTGTTGTTGTTGTTGTTGTTGTTGTTGCTGTTGCTGTGATGATGATGATGATGGTGATGAAGATAAATTTTGTTCATTATCTAATATTTGTTTATCATTTAAATCTGTATTACTATTTAATGATGATGTTGATCGTTGTTTACGACGATTTTCCATAGCTTCTTGTACAATTTCAACTGGTTTTGTAACGAATGCTTTAACACGATCAAAAAAACCAATACCTGTTGTTGTTGATGTTATATTTGTATTTAAATTATCAAATTCATTATTCTCTGTTGTTGTTGTTTCACGATAAA